GGGTAAAGGGTGTTCCGGGAGTAAGAACTAGTTTTTACCTCACAGTAATGATTTTTGTAATCCGTATTTACAATTAGATCGAATTAATAATTTATTATTCATTTATATTCTGTATGAAATTAAAGTAAAATGCCAAGAACAAAAAAATAGAATTTTTTTTTGAAAAATTCTTATTTTTCTATAAACAATATCTTGAATAAATTATGAAATAGACCTACATTTATGAAAAATTGCATTAGTATTTGCCATCACTCTTTGAAAATCAAACTAACATAACTAAATTTGTTAATAAAGGTTAATGCTTTTCTGGTAACCATTTCAACATTCATAGCATTTCTTTTAGATTTCATTTCAATGAAAACCGCAATTTCGTTCATTTATTTCCTTTTTAGATTAATATATTTGCACCAAAAACAAAGTTAAAACTGAATAAGATACAGTTCCATGAGTGTGAATTCAATTGTGGGATATAAAGCCTAATTTAAGACTAATGAACAATACTCTGAAAAAATAGCTGTACTGTTATAAAAATATTTTCTGAAATTAAGTAGTTTTTTAATGGTTAATACGCTCACAATTGTTTTTATATACTTTATTGTTTACGAAGTCGTTTTTCCACGGGAAGAAGGTAGATCATTATGGGTTCCATAGCCGAAAACATTTGAGAACAACTTGCTTAGAAAATATATTCAGCTATGAAAACTATAACCCTATGAGCAAACTGAAAACTTAGAAAAAAAATTGCACTCAAACAATTCAAGGACGCTAACAAATGTACACAGCCTATCATCAACACCAAATAAACAGGATATCCTAAGCCCTGCTCTGCATCAGCTACTTCGATCGTATCTTTAAATGTCTAAAAAATACATAAGTGAAAACTCGGTTGAAAAAAATCAACGAGTGATGCTTTTATAAACAATCTTGTTTTATTACTAAAATCAGTTAAAAAGAGACTACAACGTTCACTGTTGATTTATACTTATGATCTTCTACAAATCTGAAACAGGGTCAAACTAAATAATTAAATTAACAGGTCAATCACTCAAGATTTAGGAGAGAAATTTATCTTCTTTGCTTATAAGATGCTTCAACGCACACACACAGATATATATATATATATATGCGTGCATAATTTTTTTATAGCTAGCATAATGAAAAGTTTTCTAAAACTGTGATTAGGTTTATTTGTTTTTAGAATTTAAAACAATAAAATGAGAAAATTGTGACACACCACACTGATTCTGACTGTTTGGAAAACACTATAAATAGTCAACATGTGACATTTGGAATGTAGTTTTTTACGCTGAATTGTATAAAACCACCAAAGAAGTTTTCCCGCGCTTTTTTAGTTGACAAAAAAAGGGAATTCTCCACCAGTGGTATTTCTATTACCCTAACCGGGGTGGTGTAAAAGACAGCAAATGGTGTTTAGAATAACAGAGGGGGAATAAAACTCTCGGGGATGTTTAACACCCATCATTTGACTTGTTTTAGGGATTAGCGGTTCCCTTTCTTGAATTCATCCCCCAGTCTCAAAAAGAGCCCACCAGAAGATCTCCATTTCTTATTTTTGCGCCCACGTGAAAAGGTTAAAAGAAAGTGATCACTGATGGTTGCAGCGTAAGATAGGAGATGGGGTCTCGAAATGTCGTCTGTATACCTTTGAGTCGACAAATTGCCTTTTCGAATGAAAAGCAGGCTAGTACAACCACCTATTCTGATTCCAGACTAATCGATAAAAATACCTTATCAGTTATGTGGTCTTTTCTGATAGGGTTATTTGGAGTCTTCAATATACNAAAAAAATCTGATTTAAATAAAAATTGTTAACCAATATTTTTAAAAAATACCAGGCATTGCTAACATACTTTATCGCAGCTTTGATTGGTAAATGTGAAATATATATAAAAATCAGATTTCAATAAAAAAAATCTGACTTAAATATAAATAATCCTATTTCTTTGATGTTTCAAGAAAATCCTGGCTTTGTCAACCTTGTCTATAAATATTAATCATGTTATAAATTATGTATAATAGGGATTATCCTATGAGGACAAGGACACGAAATAACTCTCATCAAATAGAGAATGTGTATGTCCAATTATCTAAAATTGAAGAGGGTCATTTAGACTAAATGAAATAACAAGCGTAAATAAAAGTTATGACTCGTTATGAAGAATTACGGGACATGAATTACGAGAGTTAGTCATGTAATTTGTTAATACGAGTCCAACGAATAAAAAAAAGACCTTGAATTACAGACACTGTTGTGGAAACTTCACAATGCCATAAAAAAATTATACATGTCTGCATTAGACTTTCATGAAATGACAGAAGTGTTGTCTTTCATAATAATCTATCAACCAACGCTTCTAAATGAGATGCCGTAAAATACTTGCAAAAATAAAAAGTTGAAAGAAAAATATTTAACAAAAAAAAACATTTTTGGCCTCGCAATTAATTGCCATCTAATTATTTCCAAAAGTTAGCCTGCTGCACACACACACACAACTTGATACAAAGCTTATGAATCTATAGTTAATTTTAAAACAAAAAATTTAATTTTTTGCTGAAATTTTCATTTACTTCAAATTTTCATATTTCAACAAGTGCGAAGAAAGAAACATCCCCAAATAGCAGGGACCATATCGCTAATTTTTTGCAATGCGGAAGTCGTTTGAACATTATTCCATTTTAAAAAGGGTGCAACAATATGGTTCAATGGACAATTTGGTTTGAAGGAATAGTTATGGAATGTTTTTAAAAAGAACTGGGTTCTGTCCTCTAATTTAAGAGTATGTATATTGCTAACATAGGGTTGGACATTTTGCGAATTTCTTATATTTTTTTTTTTTTNTTTTTTTTTTTTTGTAATGCGAAAGTTATTTGAACCTTGATGCTTATTAAAAATGAAACGTTCAGTATGTTTGAAAACACCTATGTTTGTTAAGAAATATTTATGGAATATTTTTTTTTAAATAAAAAAAGCTCTTTTAGTCCAAATCTTTCTAATTTCAGAATACATATCCATCCATACAAGATCACAACATATCCTTACAACCTCGTTATATTAAGTAATACCTTCTTGTAACATAAGTATATTTACCGCTAACGTAAGGCAAATTTTTATAATTTTTAGTAATACGAAAGTAACGGATAAACCAGTTCCTTTCTATAGCGCCAAACGGTTGATTATAAAAACTATTAGAAAGAACTTTTAGTATAACATAAGAGAGTCAAATAAACACAAAAAATGGATGGAGGAAATCACAAATACTATTCCGTTATGGCCAAGGGACAAATCTGTTGCCACTTTTCGCTTCGTTACTGGGCACGATTGCCTCGAGGCAATCCAATCGAGGCTCCAAGCATTTAATATCGCATAAAAATTCTTTCAAATCCTTTCTGAAAATTGTGAAACATTCGTAAAAAAATAGACGCCATCCATTGGAGTCATCGCCCTGAACTTGCGGGAGAAAACTGGGGAGCTCGGTACAAGATAAACGATTTATAGACTTATTGTAGTTTCTGTTTTGTTACTGTTATCTCTGTTTCTTGTTTAAATTTCATTGTTTGTTTTTCTATCTACAGTTGTCTTTTAATCTGCCATTCGAAATAAAATAAAAACTTAATTCGAAAGTTGTTTGAATTTTGTTCCATATCAAAAAGGGTCGTATTGTAAATGAAAATTCCTATATGCGAAGCGAAAATAAATATTACTAACTCAAGAAATATTAATAACAGACACAATGACTGACTTTTTTGTATAAAAATGAGTTTTTTTTCCTATCCCCACTTTGATTCTTGATCCTCTAAATATGAGGGGAGCAGCCGCAAACTGAAAAATATGATTCCAATAGTTTATGCAGGGGGAAAGTTTGAACCCCTTACTTTAATTTTAGTATAAATTTAAATTTTTATGTATTTTTGAAATATTTTTGTATTTAAGCAAATCAAAAGGAAATTTTCTGGCTGTTAAAAAATTCGTCAAAAGTCAGTTCCTTGCAAAAATTTAATTCCTTAGGGTTTTATATATTTTTTATTATTTAATTTATTAATAGAAGAAACATTTTTAAAAGCAAAATATACGCATTTGTGTGGCATTTTAAACTAGGGAATCATAAGACACAAAATTTGATTAAAAACTTCAAAAAATTGAATTGATTTAAAAAATTTGATTTAAATTTTTATTCCCCAAGGTATACTAGATCGATTCTGTCTAAATTTATAATTTTTGAACTTATAATTACGTATCTTGAAAATAATGCAAAAATAGTTTAAAAATATTATTAATTATAAACAAAAGAGAAATTTAAAAAAAAAATTGTTTACAGTTACTTATTTTTAAATAAACGAGTTTAAATATTGTTAACAATTCTTTTTTTTTTCCTGAAATTAACATTAAGGGGACCAAACTTTCGGCCTTTCTCCTATTGGAACCATATTTTATAAATTATCCTCATATGAGGATAAAGAATCCAAATCTTTCGAGAAAAAAAAATTTGTTTATTTAGAGAAGGTATCGTTTGGGACCTGATTTCGTTGCATAAAGTACTGTAGGCATAAATAAATCAGCGTACAATAAACACAAATAAACTATCAATAGCTTCTCATATCACTTAGATTGCATCTAATTATATGACAATCCGATCAAAAGTTATTAAGATGCCCCGTTTTTTTATATTTTGTACTCATTTTTAATGACTTTAATGTCAATTGTAACATCTTGAAAAATCTGAGAAATTTCGGTATCTCTCTTGTTATCTCTGAATTATTTCCTGCAGAATATTACAGAGATAACATGCAATATTAAAATACATTTTATCTTTAAAAGCCCAGTATCATAATCTATGGCATTGTATTAAAAGCTTCAAACAACAATTATCGTTCTAGCAAAATAAAACAAAAACATATCTGATAGACAGCATTGTCATCTTCTTATCTGACAGCATTGCCAGATAAGTTCGACAAAGCAAATTAAATAAAATTGTCACAATCACTGATTGTATAGCGCTAGAGACGTCACCTTGACAAAGCATTTGTATCTTTTTTTCTCATCATCTAATAACGGATACTTTATGCCACTTTTCTTTTAAATCATAAACTAGAGACAAAATACAAAAAAATAGATTGTTATCTGACTCATTCAGGTTTTGAAAGGAAAAGTTAAACCCTTGCTTAACTCTTCAGCACCAAAAAAAAATAATAATAAAAATAGTTTTTAAAAAAAACTTGCTGAGTGAGAACGGCACTGAAGATCATGGACAGACCAGGATGTTGTTCGTTGTTGCGTCATCAACTGTGTTGTGTTTTTTTTTCTGTAATTTTCACAGTGAGATAGAAGATTGCCTGACGTGACACTGCATTTTACTTTTAATGCCAACAGCTTTTTCCGGCACACCTTCAAAATAAGTTTCGTATATCAACCATTGGTTTGAATTTACAGTCCAGTGTGAAACAAGAATTACCTATTCCCTTAATTTATCTTGTGAAGTGTCCAAAAGTATAATGACTAAGTAAGTTATTTTGATTTTGCTCTTAAGTTTGTTGCAATATTATGTTTAACGTTTTGCACTAGAAGTATGTGTGTATTAGAGATTTAACAGTATCGATGTATTAGATACTTAGCATTTCAAAGTAACTAGTACTTATACTTCATACATCCTGAAATAAACTAATCATTTTGGCTCGATTTATTTCCAAGCAAAAGTGTTAAATTAAAAATAATTTATAAGCTTTATTTGAATCTCATGCTAAAACTATCAGGTTTTTAAAACTGATACTTAGTTGCATCAGTTTCCGTTTCGTAATGCATTTTTGGGTTTAAAAAACTTAAAATTAGTACAATTCAGAAAGTCTTGAACGACAAAAAAAGAAGGGGGGAAATGAAGAAAGTAGTTGAACTAAAACTTTTGGTAAAGGGTTTTCTAACCCAAACTAAAAGTGTATGCAATTTTATAGAAATTCAGATTTCTTTTTTAAAATGTAATGTATTTAAATGTTTTTTTTCAAATGTAATTGTTTTCCAAATTTAATAATTTTTTTCATAAAAAGATATGTGTTTTCATAAAGCAGTGTTATGCAGCCTACGCTCTTGTCAGGAAAAATAAGAAATATCCATCGCCAACCGCTAACAGTTTTGTTATTACACTATATGCAATATTAAAACCGCTATTATTTCTTAAAATCGTGAATTATATATATATATGGATATATATATATAAAATAGTTTATTCACTGNATATATAATATTTCTTAATATCGTGACTACATGAGGCAACGCTGAAATTTCTTACTTAACTACTGATGGGATTTTATAAGCGATAAAAAACTATTTCTAAACCTTTTTTTTTAATTCTTTTTCAACGACCTTTGTAACTTTATAGCCAAAGACACGTTCTCGCCGACAAAATTCCAATAAAAGGACGACAGAAACCTATTCTAAAGCAGGATATCTAAATCAAATTCAAGAAACTTCAGTGATTATTAAATATTCTAAAGTCATCCTGATGTTTTTTATTATCTAATAAAGTTAAGATGAGAGTTTTTACAACTCATGTGTTCTATAGTATGAGCTTTAAAAATTTAATAGAAATAGATTCAAGTCACATCGCACCCTTAAGCTTTATCGAACATTGAAACAGGATCTTTAAAGGCTAAACCAATATCTAAAGTTACAAATAAAAGGGTTACGTATTGAATGATGTAAATAATACAACATTAATTTAATACGATATGAAATAGAGAAAACAAATGTTAACTATAAAGATAATGCTTTGTTGATAGTCGAATTCACTAAACCTATTTATCGAATTAGAAAATACTCTAACAAATTAGCACATTAAACATAGATAAACATTTTCAACAAGCAAACTTTTTTCAATGTACCATTTATTAAATTTGTAATACCTTGGAAGAGATCTCGAAATGGCATGATATTAAATTATTCTTCGAAGTTCCTATATCGGTGTTTAATCTCAATTATTGGTCGAAAAAAATATCAAAGAAATTAAAATTAACAAAATTAAAATATTCAGATAAATTTAAAATAATTCAAATGTTTTTTTTCAGAGTTTAAATTCAAAGTAAATTTACATACCTTTAAACACTTATTTGATCGCTATACAGTAATTTAAATATGAAGAAAAGTGCTTTTTGCTTATATAAAATTTAGAAAGCATTTGATTATCTTGCTAACAAGATCAAAATAAGCGACAAAAATATGCTGATGTTATACATGAATGTGACTAGTTTATTTGAACAGTGATTTTTTTTTTTTAAAAAAGCACTTTTGTATGTCCAATGGTTATTTATATGTAACACAGCTGGTTCGTCTTTCGAATAAGGTGAGTTTCAAAATTTCAAGCATTTCGCTATTTGAAATCGGCAAAAATCAAGACAATCTATAAGTATAAAATGATTTTGAATAAGTGATATGCTGGCTTTAATGTTCGCCTCTTATAAGTTCGCTCATTCAGATCTTGATTTTTTAGGAGTATTTATCAGAATTATCGTGGTGAATTAGTTATCAAGAAATGATTTGATGTTTAGTACATCAAACACATATTAACTTTTTAAATAAAAAAATATGGTAATGCTCAATGGTGATTTTGAAGGATACCAAATCAAATTAGCAACTTTATTTTAATTAATTTGTGCACTTATTAAATCAAACTACAAACAAAATTATTAATTTTATTCATAAAAACAATATCTTTCTTCACATTTAAATACTATTATAAAGATTAAATAAGAATCCTAAACTGTTTAGACTTTTTGTGTAAATTTATTATGCAATGAATTGAAACTGTAAATAAAACAGCCTAAAATGTTTAGCTAGTTATTTGTTAATTTTTATTTTTCTGTTTTTTCTTTAGAACAATACCTGAGAACAAACTCTGGTAAAAGAACTTTGAAGAATAATCTAATATTATTTTATTCCGAGAACTCCATATAGAAATTGGATATTTCAAATTTCATAAATAGTACCTAGAAATAGTTATGTTTTATGATATAATTTTACCTCCTCTTTGTTTTAGATAAATCGCAGTAAGAAAAAATCTAAATAAGTGGAGAAAAAATTTACCCTACGCTTTCACAAGATTTTTTTTTAATGTAATTTTTTCTGCTTTCTACGAAAAAAAAATTACTATAAAAAGGATTTAGTATCTAGTAAAAACAATCACAATCACTTTCTTCCTTGTAAACAAAAATAAGCAAATCAGAAACTGCCTCCTTCCCTTAGATGCTCGTCGAAGGAACCTTTCAAATTACCATAAGCATGTGAAAATGGATATAATAGTTTTTTCTGATTTGAATGACCCTGGTTGCGTAATCATCAAGCTGTAAATTACCTAGTCATAATATTAAGTGCATATTCTTTAATTTTTGTTAGGGCTTATTCTAAGCACATAAGGAAACATACTTCATGATTTGATTTAATAACCGTCGTTGAACAGCCGACCCAAATTTTGAGTTTGCATCTACCAATGTTCAACTCCGTAGCCTTGTAATTTTGAACCCAATCCAGAAGACAAAGGAACTCCTGGATGAAGTATTGGGAAACATTTGCCTCCGAGGAGGACTTTTTGGTGGAACTAACCTAAAGTGACCACATTTTCACTGAGACAAAGCGGGACAAATGGGATGAAATGAGAATTACAATTTAGTTATATATATTTTATTGTATACATTCATATACTTGTACAAAAATGTATTTATTATTAATTATCGGTGACTATAAAAATATTTGTAAAAAATAATAATTTGAACATTATGATTTTTAATCAAATTAAATTTTTTATTTAAAAAAAATTATGATTTTCTTTCACGGTCATATTTTTGATCCGAGTGAATACTTTGCAATAGATTCGGATCATTTATTAAAATGTCGTGAAATATTTCACATGAATTGGTCAAATTATATTTTACACTTAAAATAGATTTTAAAGTTTTAATGTTCAACTGCGTTTTTTCAGTTGTCCATATTTTATTGATACTAGAAAAAACACGTTCTGTTGCTGCATTTGTTCCCGGAAGGGAGAGCGCGAATTCTACAATTTTCAAAATATTTTGATAAGGAATATTATTCTGTTTAAAATGAAGGAATAACTCCGTCCATTTTTTGTCTGTTTCCACATTTGCAGACAACCAACATTTAATTTTTTCATCTGTAACATATCTTTTTACCAATGACACCTCATCAAAAAGATCATTTTCGCAAATATTATTTTTCGGAAAATGGTTACTAATATATTCAAAAGATTTTTCCACATATTCCCATAAAATCTCCTTTTTTAATGTCACCCAATGAAAATTTTTAACATCTTCGAATTGAACTGTCCATTCTTCAAGATATTCCAAGCAGTTATTATAGAAATTTTTGACATGGTTCAAAAAATCAGGTCGTTTAATGGCACCTTGTTCTTCCAACCTAGTGATGTCTTTTCGANAAAAATTTTCTAATTTAGTTTTAGTTATCCACAAAAAATAAATTAAATATTAATTTAATTCGATGAATATTAATTTAATTAAATAAATATCAAGTGAAAACTACTCAATTTTCATTTTATAGTGAGTATAAGGATTAAGCAAGGCAATTAAATTCGATTTCAATGTTAACCAATAAATTAGAAGGATATTAGCTTCATAAGAATTCATGCATGTAATAATCATAAATTTAACGAAAAAAGCATTTCCCATAAAAAATAAATACAAATTTTTTTTAAAAATAACTAAACTAGTTATTTACCTACAAACAAACCTTTTTACATGAGGTTTGGATGTTCTAGAAATCCATTCCGTATTGGTAAGTTCCCAAATTCCCTTACCTACCTATTGCAATCGTCTAAATTTAGAACATTACTTCTAAGGGTAATGGTATTTGAAGAAGTATATTTTTTACTTCATTTTTAAATGAAGAAGGCACTTTCTCTGTTGAAAAAATTGAAAAATTGACATTTCAAGTTTGTTCACAAAAGCTGGAGTATAGAAATCACTCTATGCTGAAAATAACAAGCATGGCAGAATGAAATAGCCATACGTCACAGATGACGTTGCCGAGAAAGCCAATCAGCGTGCTCAAAATTTCTTGGGGATACTATGTGTGTAAAGAGAGTTTACATGCCGCCTGGCATCGTAGAAACTGAGGAGGTAGGAGGCAGGGAAGAAATCTCATAAATATGCAGTAAAGTGTTATGGCGTTTTTTACAAACGAAGCAAGAATTATTCGATTTACAGTCTTTAACTTTGTGATTATTCTTTAAGCAATTAATACACAAATTTAATCGTTTTATTTCATTAAATCTNAACATTTGCCTCCGAGGATGACTTTTTGGTGGAACTAACCCGCATTTGCGTTACATGGAGAAGAAGATCACGAGAACCTCCCATGGTTAGCCTGAAGGCAAGAGACTATAACCCATGATCCGTCTACCACTCAGGATATTTCACGTCAGCACTGTGGTTGGTGCGAGCTGGATGCGGAAATCGTATAGACCAGCCATTGCTGGGATTCTAAGCCAGTTGTAAGGTGAACACTCTATCCCCTGAGTCCTCGCGGCTCATTAGGAAACATATGTAAAAAATGATAATAGTTCTTTACTACTATTATATTAAGTTTCTTCACACAAAAAATTGGGGAAGGAAGAAATTTGCCAAAGAAATCTTAGCAAGAAAACTTTAATAAAGAAATATTTTCTTTAGAAGAGCACTGCTAGGAAAATTCTTTGATTATTCTTGAATTATTTTTTATATTCTTTATAAAATTCATTCTCTTTCTCCTCGAGAGAATTAATTCTTAGACTATTATTTAGAGGATCATTGTTTGCACCGATATAAAACATCTAGTTATTTGTTTAAAACTACGCTAAAAGTAGTACGTATTTTTTTTAATTCATAAATTATCACAGCGTTTAATAAAGAAATTTGAAAACAATAATAATGTCACGTGTAATTCACGTATATATTCTAATTTCTCCGTACCCTTTTATTTGCAACTTTAGATGTTGGTTAAGCTTTATGAGATCAGCTTTCAATGTTCGAAAAACACATGAAGGTATGATGTTACTTGAATCTACTACGATATTATTTTCAAAGCTCATACCATAGAACTCATGAATTGTAAAATCTACCATCCTAACTGTATTCGGTAACAAAAAAGGATGTAGATGACTTAGGCATATTAAATAATAAGTTGGAATTTCTTGAACTTAGATATCTTGTTTCAAAATAGCGCTTTTGGCATTCGGTGAAAACGTGCCTTTGGCTATAAAGGTCATTCAATAAATATAAAAGGTTTAGGAGTAATTTTTATTACATATAAAGTTTCATCTGCAAGCTTTTTGAATTATTATTAAATTTAAAAATATTTTTTAAGTCCTTCAAACGCAAAATTGTTGAAATAATCGATTTAAAACATTCTCCAAATTTCTATAAGTAGTAAAGTAGAAAATTTCCACGCTTATCATGTAGCCTCGATATAACGAAATATTATTTATGTTAATCGTTTTTTTTATTACATGTAGTGTAATAATAGAATTGAGATTTTCAACGGAGATTTGCTTATTTTTGTTGATAAGAGCGAAATATGAGTAAATACTACTTACTTAAAATACATGTCTTTTTATGAAAACAAATCTCTTGTAAATTGAGAAATAATTACATTTAAATAAATTACATCTGAAGAAAAATCTGACATAAGCATTTGTTTAGTTTGCTGGCAAGAACCAAAAACTAGTGATTTTTTTTTTTAAAAAGGGAAATATTTTTGTATCTCTAGTGATTGTTTTTCTAAAACACAATATATTAAAATATTTTTTATAAAATAAAATTTAAAAAAATAACTTACATTTACTCTGACATTTTTCGTACTCACCTCTCGACAAAACATTTACCGATCAACCACAGTGAAACCTAGTTTGGCGAGATTTCAAAAAGTCACCACAGGGGGGCTGTTCAAGAATACACAGGGTTAAATATAGTATTTCTATAATTTTCAAAGACTCATGTTTGCCTTCATACTTGTTTCTAGCATGTTCTTTTTTTACCTCAGCAATTGAACTACGAGTTTAGCTATCTTTAAAAATATTTAATTTTTTCTCGAGACTTCTTGAAACAATGGGGAAAAAAAATTTATGATGCATGCGAACAAATAAACGGAGAGGGAGAATAGCATAAAATGATCCAAAAAAATATTAGCCATGTGTTACAAAAAAACGCCGTGACAATCATTGAAGCCATTTATCTTATTAAGAACAGTTTAATCTGTAACATTGGTTTTCTACAATATAATTTCGTATTTTCGATGTGGTACTCGAACTGAATGTCTGCAGAAATTGTTGATTGTTTACAAGTCAACCCCACCCCATATAATTGTGCAAAATGTAGAAGAAAATAAAGATCTAAATCGGTATGCAAGCATCCTAACAGACATACCTTCGCTTTTATGTTTATTGAGAAAAAGTCCTTGATTTTGATTGTTCTAAAATCAAAAGACGAAAATAAATTGGAACAATTCTAAGTAAATCTTTCAGCAAAAGATTGCATGCTACTAAATATAGAGTAATAAAAATAACAAACAAGCATAGCTTTCAAATAACTTAGAAATGCAATTGACTACGGAATTTCAAAAATTACAAACAAATGGTGATCTTAAAACTGCGGGTTTTAGTTCTTATCCAATTTGCTGCATAGTTAAAGTGGTCAATTTAACAGGTTTCAAAATACAGCAAAACATTTATAAGATGACCAATTTTGGTGCATCACTTTTGTCTTTTACCTAGCTAGGTGGTCAACTTATAGAAAGTTTATGAGTCAGTGTTTTTTATTATTATCACTTATATCGTGTTATTACACTTATATGTCTTATATATAACCATTCAAAATATAGATAAATGAAATTAATTTTATTGACGTGGCTCTTAAAGTTTCATTTAGCGAATATCCAATTTATCTTAAATGAAGTAAATTATAATCTTACAAATGAGATAAATTACTAGAATGAATCACAATTTGTTGCATAATATTTAGTTAATTAGTTTTAAAAACAAATATTCATACTTGATAGTGATGCTTGCCAGTTAATAAATAATTTCTCATTATATCAATTTACTAGACCATACGCAGCTATAAAACTCAACATTATATCCATTTCCTAATTTTTAAAATGTATTTTGTTTCACTTTTTTGGAACCATTTTATGTAAAAGTTTCTTTTCGAATTCTTTTCCAGAATAGTCACAAAGGGGTTTAGATTATATTATAAATTTAAGAAGGGTTTAAATTAGAATAATATTCAACAATACAAATATATTTACTAGAATGCATAGACATAACTTTAAACATATAAGACAGGTGATTAGGTTACAAAGATTCTTAGACTATTTTTATTATTAAAGATGAATTCGGTACTTGGTTTTAGATATCGACTGAGATGAGTGGGCAACTTTTTGCGAGATTGTCAATTTGACAGTTTTCATTGTCTTTTCCCTTTTAAACATTATCATAATTTCTAATGTGAACTCGTCATTTTTCAGAGTTGGTCCAGTCAAGCTTGCGTACGATGTCTACGAACCATCAAGTGGAGCTGACAGCAGTTTAACCCCGGTCATATACATGCATGGTGTTAGTGGCTCTAAAGAAAATTTTCGAAACATAGCACAAATTATAGCAGACAAGACCAAAAGAAAGGTGACGTAACTTAAGTAAATTCTTTTACAGAAAGTTCAAGTTTCAAAAACTGCAAATGTTTTATTCAATTTAAACTGTATGTTCTATGTTCAAAACTCAACCCACATCTTATAACAATATTAAATGCTCTAAACACTATTTACTATACATTATTATTATCAATTTAAAAAAGTAACGATAATTTTTTAAATTGTTATATCAATCCTTCTTCGTAAAATATCGCCATTTCTAATGGAAAAAAAAACTTGTTAATATTGTATTTATGGTTATCTAGATGTAACAAATATATATTTATAAAATCTAATACTTGTGTTATTGTTGCTTTTTTCTAGATTTTTATAGGAGTTGTTTCGTTTCTTTATTTTATGAAATACGTAACAACCATTTCTTTTATAGGGTTACGCATATGATGCAAGAAACCATGGTGACAGTGAACAAACCGATGATTACTCATTTGAAATGAATTCTAGCGACCTCTTTGATTTCATGGATACCATAAAGACCCCCAAAGCCATTTTAATTGGTAGCAGCATGGGCGGAATGACAGCCATAAAAGCTGCATTAAAAAAAGTAAGAAAATGAAATAACTGGATTTTTTTTTTTAAAAAGCCTTCATGTGACAAATTTTAGTTAATTGTACACTGTAAATTCCGGACCAAATTAAGGAAAAAGTACTGGCACTCAGGAACTTTTTACCCTTTTAAACCATTTTTACCACAAGATTTTAAACGACAAAAAATCTTTTATAATGTAATTTTTACTGTAAGGATTACTATAAAATCACTGAACCATTAAAATTAAATGATTATTGTAAAAATTACAGTATAATATTTTACAGTAAAAATAGATTTTATCGTAAAACGGAAGTTCACGGATGTTGCATTTAGGTCTGATTGTGCTCCGGAAAAAATCCGGATTTCCAGATTTTTCGCTAACCGTGATCCGGAAGATTCCGGAGATCGAAGGTTGAAACGTTTAAAAAAATCATTGATCACAAAAGTTTCCGGAAATCAAATTTTCAAAGGTGGAGCTTGAAAACACAGTTTATTTTATTTGTTTGTAAGGGAGAGCCTGATATTTTATAAGCTTATATTCAAGACTAATATTCATTTTTTATCAGTAAATAATTATTATAATAAACTCAAGAAAGAAAGACATATTTGTAAATTTCAATTACTTCTCCAGGTTATCATAGGTATGTGTAAATGGTATAGGTATGTGTAAAATTTTAAATATATTTTAAATAAACTAAGAAATATTGAGAAAAAGGAAAAAACCTTGTTTAAATTTTTTTCTAATTTTTCGATTTAAATTTTTTTTTACTCAAGAAATTTTCAGGAATTTTGATTTGGGTTCACAATCACCCCTGTAGCACTGAGAGTGGCAGTACCTTATACCGTAATTTGATTCGACGTTTTTTACCGTGTAGAGCTGAGCGATCTATCGTCAAATATTTACATTCTATTTTTTGTATTTATTAATATTTATTAATTTTTTATTAATATTTACATGAGTTTTCCTTAACTGTAGCTAGAGCGGAATGATATATCGATCTATAGTAAAATATTAATGTTATTTAGACATCGCAATAGCATAAGTTTAAAGGATTTTCACAATATATCATGTTGTAGTGTCACAACAAAAAAGAGACGTGAGTTTCATAAATTTATTTCAAAATAATACACAACTTCCTTCTCAATTGGGTACTTGCACTTCAAAATGAAGAAGACTACATATACCCACACATGTTACCAATAACGTCAGCACCAGCTGATCGCTTAAAAGCAAAATGGCGAGTTAAACTTGAGTTAAGTTTCTCCACATAAGTTAGAATGTTAATTAACGTGAAGTTAATGAAATACAAAGCCGTATTGCACATCAAATTTGTTGAAATGTAATTCTTTTTCGTCTAAGTCTTTCACTTAACTTAGATTTATTATTGTTTATGATTTTTATTGTAACCGTGATATATTTTTGCTCTGTGTACCTAGCAACTTCGATATATAGTTAGTTTGTTCATGTCCTACATGGCTTCGTACCTGTCTTTGTGTTAAGTAAGAAATATATAGCAAAAAAATTTAAATCTTTGTGAAAGAATCTAGAATGAGTCACTTAAGAGAATTGATACTTCACAGGTTCGGCTTACTCGAAATACAACAGAAAGAACAGTTGCAAACGTAAACAAATGTCACGTTTTAGCAACCAATCAGGATCGAGATACCCACACTATGTCACTTGCAGGTATCTCATTGAAACGGACAATCTTTAAAAAGAAAATAATAAATAAATAAAAACACTATAGATAGTGCTCAACTCGATCACAATCTCCAACTACAGCTCGAGACAATTTTTAAATAGATCTGATCTGAGCTCTGTCTTGATAAATATTGCTTGCTACGCTACAATGTATACCATTGTATTACTATAAGTATTGAATTTACGATACTTTCTTACTTTCCTTTAAATCTTCGCGCCGCCAGCCATACATCTCCATACCACTCGGTCTTGGGTATAATTATCGGCGATAATTATCAACTACAATATTTCTTCATACAAAAATTTTCGTTAATTATAGCTAAAGCTCGAACACTATCAAAATCTAAGGAATATAAACTCAATGGCAGAACTGAAAAACTTGTTTCATTGAAATAGAGAGAAGTTAAAAATGAATGAGAAACTTCTCCAAGTTTCATCAGGTAATCAAGTTGGTTTTGTTGTTTTTCATCCCATCTTCCTTACTATAACAGTTTCCGAAAACGGGCTTGTTTTTCCTCGCTTAAATGTGAATTAGCGTAACTTAATTTGAATGTTTTTTCTAAGGTTTCTGAGAATAAATATTAAAAACGATTGTTACAGAACATCCTCCAAATGCATATTTCAGTCAGTTTAATAGATCAAGAAAATCAAATAAAACCTTACCAGTTTTATAAATTTACAATAATGTAAAGTATTATGCATAAGAAGTTTTGTAATTGAAAAATTATGTAAATTATGACATAAAGGCAGTTTTACAGATGAAGAATAATCTAAAATATAATTATATAAATGTAGTTTTATAAACGTAAAATAATATAAATAACTTATAATATAAATACTTATAATAACTTATAATATAAATAACTAAGTTTTATAAATGTAGAATAATGTAAGTAATAATATAAAAGCAGTTTTATAAATGTAACTTATAAATACAGTTTTATAGTTGTAGAATAATGTAAACTTTAACATAAATTTTATTTATAAATGTTATAGAAGAGCAGAATAATGTAAATAACATAAAGACAGTTTTATAAATGTTCAATTGTGTGAATTCTAATGCGAGTATATTGACAGCTTTATAAAAGAAGAATAATGTAAATTATAATATAACTACAGCTTTATCTATGTAAATACTCTTTAAAACACAATTTGACAGTAACTTATATTATTAAAATAAGTATTTTTCATGTTTGAATTCTATTTCAGCCTGAACGAATTGAAATGATATTTGTAGAAGACATGTTTGTGAAAAAATGCCCTAAAGAAATGTTAGAAATGGTTATCGGTTTTATAAATTTGTGGCTAGCCTGCGTTGCAACAATACCTAAAGAGCTTAATGAAAAAGAAGCAGTTAAGCATTGTGTGGATATACTGTACAGTAAACTCCCAGCAGATCAAGTAAGACTGAATTTTAAAATATTGTTTTGCATGGTTGCTTTCAACGATTTTCATGGCTTTATAGCAATGAGTTTTCTTCTATAAAATATATACAGTACGTCAAAAAAACGGACCTCTCAGAATAAATTTTGATGTAATAATCGGATTTTTTTTCCAAAGTACTTAATATAATTGAGAACAGATTATGGTTGTATTATCTACATACTATTATCAATTATGGAAAAGGAAATTAATCATATCATAATAAGTTGTTTAAAAATTTAAGTAAAATAATTCGCAATAATTTGTACATATTATTGCGGATCTATATTTTTATTACGTATTTTATGTTAAATTTAGTTATAAAAGTATACAAATTTAAAAAATATAGCTAACAAATGAATGGTTTCAGGCTCAAAAAGTGTTTTTAATAATAGTAAAAAAAGTTAATGAATATTTTTAAAAGTTTTGAAATAAAAATTAGGAAATGATTCGAAATACAAATCATTTATGGAAGAGAGAAAAAAATTATTAGTCATGGAAACTTTAGTACATATCTAGTTAATTACTACATTGAGAAGAAAAATATGATCAAAAATACCAGAATAAGGTAAAATTGACTATGCTTCTGACCCTATGGAAACACCAAAAAGCTCGGTAATTTTTACCGAAGCGATTTCGGTAAAAGTGACAAAATCGAACATGACAGAAAAATCATTTACTCGGTTAAATTTACTTTTAAGTTTTGTATTTCTTTCTAAATGTGTGACAATAAGAACTTTAATTTTCAAAACCAGAATTTCCGGTAAACCGTTAACGGAAAAATTACCAACTAAATAGTTTAAATACCGTATACTTTGGTGTTATCAACCAGAATTATGAGTTTGTGGGAATTAAGTTAATCCAATTACAAACAACGCATTTAATAAGATCAAAAATAAAATAAAGAAAAGTTACATGTTTTATTATTCCATCTTGGTGTTGCCAGATCTGATTGTACAAATATGTTGCCAGTTTTGATCATTAAATAGAAAATTTAATTTACAGTCCTGTACTGCCATCTGGCGACCAAATTCTATCTCCATCTACAGGGATGTTGATCCACCACAAGTTTTTTTTTTTACTAAAACTGTCGTTACAGTACGGTAATTTTACAGGAATTTTTTTCTCTTCAAGTAATATTACTTAGTAATTAACTTAGTTATAATACAATGATCTATTTTCTCTTGCTACCATAGAACTGCGATTGGGGCAATGGCCACTGCTTCTACCGTCATCGATGAATTGTTGTTAAAACATCGATGTTCATCGACATCATGATCAAACATTGACAGTATTTAAACGTGCTATAATATTTCTAATACTTCTATATATTTTGCATTCCATTAATTTTTTTTAGCAATTAATTGGTGACAAGGAAAAAATGTACAATGCTGGATTCGTTTTCAAACGAGGTGCCGATGGAGCATTTGATGTGAAGTTTAATAAAAAAGCTATATTAAACGCATTAAAGAATGCCGAAGAAACCATGAGTGAGGCCACTGGTCAGTACGATGGTCCAGCTTATTTCATATATGGGTCAATTTCGCCATTTTGTGTGTAAGTATTGCCTCATGAATTGTGTCTTGTTAAAACAGCAGTTCAACAATTCATTCTTATTATTAACATACGACGGAATGATCTATTCTTTTAAGAGGTGCAAACATAAGTCTTAAATGAAGAGAACTTTTTAGCGAAGGCAAGCTAAAAAAGATTCTCAGAAAATGTTTAGCAAAACATATGTGTCGCCAAAATTAACGTGTTTAAACGAGAGTTGATAGCGTTGGTTATAGCAATCGATATCATTATCATCTAGGTGCAAGGGCGTCATTTGCTGAGACTTCAAATATACTGCCTTGTTCTAAAAACGTAGAATTTGAAGATATCCGTATGCTGTATAATAAGCAGGGATAACAGCAGGAATGTAATATATTCCTGCATTCCTAATAAAGTAAATCTATGTCCTTTACAGCTTATTTATTGCCAATTCTACTAAAGACGTACTAGATACGATGACGATGTAGACTTATTCATTGACCATCATGATCGCAAGATTTGCCATGCATAGGTTCTTCACTCTAGAAATCCCGTTATAGTCTAAAAAAGTTTTTCTATGCTTTAATTTAATTAATGAAATTTTAGAGAAGTTGTATAGGTGAAATTGGATTTCTCAAGAACCATTCGATTGCATTTTTTTCATATTTTGTATTTTTCATACAAATACGTAATTATTGATTAGATAACGTACCATGACTCAATCTTAATGGTCCGAAGGGATTGACCTCAAATACGCTAATTAGTTGGAGACGATAATTACGAAATCAGACACAAAAACGTACTTTCTCTACATACCTTTTACACTTTTTAATACGTAACGCATAGCTTTAAAATAACATGCCTTTTTTATAACAACGTTTTAACATACTTTTTTTCAACGAGTTTTGATTTCTGACCCTCAATATAGGGGGTAGTCGCAATCTGGGAGATAAGTTCTCAACAGGTTGGCCAGAGGAGCGGCCTAAAATTTGGACCCCTTAATATTAATTTAACTTTTTGTGTATTTCGCAATATCTTGGGAATATCTTAAGCGTTTATCCAAAAAATTAAAAATTCGTTTATCTAAAAATTTACAAAAGATAATTTCTACATAATTTTAAAGATTGCAATATATATATA